AACGTGACAGCGGATGGAATCATAAGAGAAATCCGAAAATCTGCATTGGAGGTAATTGAATGCTGAAGGGATAAGGATTTCTGAACATTTAAAGGGAAAAAAAATCTTTTTGGCTGTGAGTGGGAAGGGAGAGGGAAAAAAAATTGGAGCAAAATTTGAAACTAAGAAGATTGCCTAGAATTCTAAAGAGTTACTAAACATCAATAAGACTTCTAAAAGATATATTTTAAAGGGAACTTTGTGACTAAACTTTAACCCCAGAAAGAGAAAGTGAAGAAGGAGAAAGTATTTAAAAGAAACAGCTTGTTTGGATTGTTTGGTGATTTTGGAACTTCTGAGAATTATTTCTGATTAAAAGCACTTGGGTGGTTGTTTGGAAAAACTTTTTCTCTATACAATGGCATCACTTGTGGATGGACTGAAACTTGTATACCAAAAATATGAAAAAGAAAAGCAAGAAGGGAAAGATGTCCTTGGCACTCTTTTTCAATTTTTAGAAATGGCGGTTTGTACTTATGTAAAGCTGAATGAGCAACAGGATGACTGGGACAAAGAAGAAGCCATCTTTGATGAACAAGTGACTTTGGTCGGGGAAGGAAAAAAGAAAGAGAAAAAGGAGAAGAAGACTTTAAGACCTGGAAAAACAATCCAAAAAGAGAAGAATAAGGTGAAAAGGGGATATTATGTTAGGAAACAACAGAAAGGAGGAAAGCAGAATAAAAGGGGGGTGGAGAGACAAAGGGGGTAAAGAGGACAAGGAGAAGAAGAAGAAAGGGAGAAAGGAAGGGATGAGAAGCCTTAATGGTGGGGAGCAAGATGCAAAGAAGCAAAAGTTTTTTAGAGATAATGGATAAATTTTATTGAAAAAGGGATTCTAGAAAGGTACATAAGATTGTATTTCTACATTTGTATTTAGAAATAACCATGGAAAGTTGGAAATAATATGCAATTTAAAATGTGATAAAATATTTAGTATAATTTAGTGAAATTTTTGTTAAGAAAAGGGGAGTACTTCAATGAAACAATGATTTAAGATATGTGATGGGGGGGGGGGAATAATTTTGGAAAGCATAAGTGTTCCCACAAAGGCATGATATTTAACTGAAATGGGTAAAATGTTTAAGATATAAATTATTGTTAATATTAATGATTAGACTATGTTATCCTAGTGAAACTTTTTGTGAAATGAGAGATTTGAAGTAGGACATAACATCGTAATGAAATAATGATCTATAATATGTGATGTGGGGGGGGAATAACTACGGAAAATAGGTGCTCCCATAAAAGTATGTGATTTAACTGAAAAGTAATGTGCTAAATGTTTAAGATATAAATGAATATCAATATTAATGAATAGATTTGTATTGGTTTTGATAATACTGTATAATTTTAGAATGTACCAGATAGAATCCCAATGTAAGCTATGTATTCCATATTAAGTATTATAAATATAGGGGAAAGAGATAAAGGCATCATACTCCAATTAGTGTACAGGAGAAATTTTCTTCAAAGGAGAAAGATAAATGGATAGCTGGAAATAGAACAGACAAAAAATAATAAATATTATGATTTGAATCGAGAGGAGATAAATAAAATAAAATTGAGAAAATTTAAAAGAGAGGAGAAGTTATATAGAAAATTGAAAATGCTAATAAGATATGGAATGGTATGTAAAATGAATATGAATTTGAATTTGTGTCTGTACCAAGAGTTTTAACCCGGGACTAAGCAACTTTCAAAAAAGAGATTTTTTTATGCTTTTATGTTTTGTGTTTCTGTGTATTTATGTTTTGTATGTCTTTAAAAATTAATAAAATTTGTTCAAAAAAAATAAATCTAAAACGTTTGGATGTGTAACTGCCTCCATTGTAGATAACCACGGTGGGACCTTACAGTGATGTACTTTTTTTATCTTTTCCCAAATAGTTAATAACACACTCCTTATATAATGCCTTTGAAACTACAAGTGGTGTTTACTCTTTCCATCCCACATAAATGTGTGCCATCCAAGTTGGAGATCAAAGCCCTCTAATGTTAAGATCCTTTTATTTATCAAATTAACCCAGTCTTTGAGCCAGGTTGCTATCTCAGCATAGTAGTATGTTTCGAAATCTGGAAGACCAAAGCCTCCTTTCTTTCTATCGTCCTGTAATTTATATTTTATTCTGGGTTTCCCCCCCCCTGCCATATAAATATGGATATATGTTTATTTAGTTCTTCAAAAAAGCTTTTTTCCAACTTGACTGGCACCGTCTGAAATAACAACAATTTTGGCAAAATATTCATTTTTACTATTGCAATACGGCCTAATAGAGATATTTGTAATTTAGCCCAATTATCTAAGTCTTTAAATATTTGAATTGTTAATTTATCATAGTTATCTTTTTTAATTGACGAGCACCTAGCTGTCAGCCATATCCCCAGATATTTTACTTTGTTTACCACCTATATCCCTAATCTCTTTGTTAGTTCTTCCTTTTGTTCATTTGTACCGTTTTTTGTTATAACTGTTGTTTTTTCTTTATTAATTTTTAACCCTGCCACCTTTCCATATTATTCTATTTCTTTCATCAAAATGGGTGTCATTTCCAGGGGATCTTCCACTATAAATGCCATATCATCAGCAAATGCTTGAAGTTTGTACTCTTTTTTAACTTTTAACCCCCTGATCTCTTGATTTTGTCGGATTTGTACCAGTAGTGTCTCTTCTGCTAATATATAAAGTAGGGGAGCCAAGGGGCATCCTTGTCTTACACCCTTATTTATCCCAGACATGATATTCTTCCGATTAAAATCGGAATTCCAATTTTTTTTGGAAATCGCCCCCCCCTTCCCCCCTTCTTCTCCTCCTTCCCCTCCCCTCGGAGGCCCCCTGAGTCAGGAGTTGCTACCGCCGGCGCAGCTCCAGTCCCACGTCGCCTCGGGACGGGAAAGGCAAAAAGGAAGAGCCACAGCGGCGCTTTGCAACAGCAGCAGTGGCACCGGAGGCTCAGGCGCAGCAGCTCCCGGTTTTGCCTTTCCCTTCCCAAGGCAACGCAGGACTGGAGTTGTGCGGAACCACGCCGGTGGTAGCAACTCCTGACAGCCCCAGCCGGACACCTGAGCGGAGCCTGGGCGGTGCGAGCGGAGGCCGCTGAGCGGCAGGAAAAGGGAGCTGGGCAGCCACGGACCATCCGTCTCTCCGTGCAACACGCCACCGCCCGGCCCTGGCGAGGGAAAGCAGCAGGCGCTCCCCGGGCGGCAGCCTCGGCCCCGCCCCTAGGGAAGCGGCTGCCCAGCTCTGGAGCTGATCCACACGTGACCGGCTGGAAAGGAAGGGTGTGTAGCGTTGGTGTTGTGTGTGCGATTTCTTGGCTCGCGGCGCGGGGTGTCTTTTGGCCGGCCCCGATTTTTTTTTCAGAGGGGAATATCATGCCTGTTATCCTTATATTATCTGTATTTTCCCCATTTATTAATATTTTTGCAGTTTGGGTATTATATATTGTTTTAATGAATCTTAAAAAATTGTCGCCAAATTTCATGCCTGTCAATTGTTTAATAAGAAAATTCCAATTCAAATTGTCAAAAGCCTTCTGAGCATCTAAAAACATCAGTGCCATTGTTTTAGTTGTGTGTACTTCGTAGAATTCTAAAACATCCATAATTATTCTTATATTTGTCTTCATTTGTCTATATGGCAGAAAGCCATTCTGGTCAGTATGAATAATCCTACTTAATATTTTCTTTAATCTTTCCACTAATATTGTGGCCAAAATCTTGTCATCTACGTTTAAAAGTGATATTGGCCTGTAATTTTGAATTTTTTGTGGGTCTGATTGCTCTTTGTGCATAAGGGTTATATATGCTTCGGTCCATGACTTTGGTATATTAGCACTATCGAAGGCTTCGTTATATAGGTCTGTCATTAATTCTTCCAATAGCTCTTGAAACTCCTTATAGAATTCAGATGGAATTCCATCCGGGCCAGGGGTTTTATTCAGTTTTTGGGCTCCAATTGCCTTTCTAATTTCTTCTGTGAATATTTTATTATTTAAAATGCATTTCTCTTCATCCATAATTTCTGGTAAATTTTTTTCCTCCAGATATTGATTAATAAGTTCTTCTGGTACTTCTTCTTGATTGTATAGATTTGTAAAAAAAAGTCCTTGGCAATATCTGCCCTCTGCCAGTGAAAACGGAGCTCTGGAGGTGTGCGTAACCCAGTCCTTTGCTGTTTCTAGGGTGGCCCCACCGGCCAGATCTAAGCCTTGACACTCTTGATCTGGACAAAGAGATGAACAAATCTTACTTATTGCCTGGTCTTTGAAGTTACGGGTCGCAGCATCCCAAGGGATCAAAATTTAACACTCGACAATCTACCCACATATTAACCTCACGATACGCTTCAACGTTATTCACTCACCTATTCCCCCCAACTCTGCTCTTCAGGATTCTTGCCATCCTTAGCTGACCTTTGTTGTTGTTTTCTTCCCACTGCTGAGGAGATGTGCCTAAACTGGCCCTTCATGAGTGTAGCTGGACAAGGCTGATTGCTACCAGGGAGTGGGAAAACATGCAAACAGGAAATAAGTCACACATAGGAGAGATTGCTTACAAAAATGGCTTTGCCTCTCCACAAGGTAGAGAGATTGAGAAGAGGATGAGATTACAGAAGAGTAAGTAAACACCCATTGGGGAATATATGGGCTGTGTGCATAGTGTGCTAGAGGCTGCCAATGCCAGCACATTGCTTTTGATATGTATTCCCCATTGTACGCCGGCTTACTCTCTTGTAATCACTTCCTTTCCAATTCTCTACTCTGCAAGGAAGATGGGAAAAGAAAAACAACGTATTAAGTCCAGGACGATGATGAATATTGACTGTATCAGTAATCACATTACTGAGGGACAGTACTTGTAACTTTCAATGGGAGGCAATCAGTAAATAAGAACTACTTGTAATGTGTTTTCAATAAGCAAGCACACAGAGAAACATTTTCTAAATATTATTGCCTTTGGGTATGTGGCAAACAGAACCATGGGCACTTGGAAAGCTAAAATGGAAAAGGTGCTTTACTTTGAAAGCCTATTGTTTTGCTTTGAATCTTAAAGTGAGAAATTTACTGCAGCAGTTTTGTCTACAATCTGATTTCATTCTAGAGGCTGTGGAGCAAATCCAAGAGCAAAGCAACCGGCCAACCAAGGCAGCAGAACTCTTTCTTCAGTCTATTCTACAGCTCAAGGAGGATGGATGGTTCCGTGGTTTTCTGGATGCACTGAAAGCATCGGGTATGATTGCTTTATTACTATTATTGCTAAACTACAATCCTTCTCCCTCTAAAACTCCAATCAATGGTTTTATGTAAACAATTGCAATTTCATTGAGTAGATACCACGCAAAAGAATTATTCAAAAAGTTCTGTGTTATATATATATATATAGGATGCTATTCAGTTACAAGACAGGAAACACATTATTAGTTGACATGTAAATATCCTGTTTTTGAAAGATGGCTTCTTCCAAAAGCGTCTGCAAATGAGCTGATAAATTCCTTCAACCTCAGATTTGGGAGTCTGTGATCCAGTAAGTTTGCTGGAAATGAAAGCTGGAATTATGAGCTGGGGTTTTCTTCATTTTTAAGATGACGTTTACCAGATAAATGTGGTTTAAATTAATAAAGTAGGCACACTACCCAACTTGAGGGTTACTGCATGTGTTCTGTTGCTTTAAAAAAAACACCATTGTGACAGTGAAATTAGGGATAATTTTGGGTGGAGAGAAGCTGTTAAAGCTGTTGATTTTGGGGAACATCTAGCAATCGGGAAGGAAAAGAATTTCCTTTGCTCAGGGGAAAAACAATCCTTTCTTTATCTCAGAAAAGAGAAGAGAATGGCTATATCGGCAAAAAAAAGCAAATATTGATTATGGAGCTTAGGAAATACCTCCGATCAGGAACACCAAGCAAGTTGTGTGACTTTTGTGCTTTCCACTGTGGGAGAGAATCTCATCAGTTCTTCCAAAGATAAAATGCTCAGAGTTGCACAAACGAGAAACTCAGTGGGCTGCAACGTGCTTTAAGATTGCTTGTATTTGGAGAGCAACATGCTTCCCCTCCACCATTGTCTTGACATTTCAGGAAATCACCTGGTGTATTTTCCTCAGAGACTAGTCCTGCCTCAAAGAATTCAGATTGCATTCCTGCAAAGCAAAGGCCTTCAGCAAAGGCCCGCAGTTTGTTTCATTACTGAAGATACCTCTCCAGAAATAGAGCCACTAACTTCTTGCAATCCCATGCAAGTAACCAGGATCTCAAGGGTGCTAAGAAGCTTAAAGTTGCTAATTTTCCTTACCAATTCGTGCCAAGGCCTTCAATAGTAGTTGTCCCTTCATATGTTAAGAGAAGCCATTCAGGGGCTATTTCTTCATAGGACTTATTTATTTCATCATTGGGCGTACCTAATAAAGCATGTGCTAGATCAGTGATGGTCAACCTTTTGGGCTTGGTGTGTCAAAAATATCAGAAAATGCTTAACTTGACTCTGCTGGCTACTCTGAAAAAAAGATTTTCTATCTCCCCCCCCACCCCACACCATCCCCCACACGCCACCCAGGCCACCTTCAACAGTGGTACTCTATGGGAGCACCGAGGCTGGGGTCTGTCTAGGGCAACTCCCTGTGGCCAACTCGACACAGCTATCTTGCTTGGTCCAACTCGCTGCGGTCAACTCGACACAGCCAACTCTCCCTGGGACAAGAGTTAAACTAATGATGGAGAAAGAAATGATGGAACAGATTCACTAAATAAAGGATGCAAAAGGAAGGACAAGATGAAATGACAAAAATTTAAATATTTTTTAAATAATTAAATTGAATTGTTGTATGGTGAGTTGGTCGTAGTGAGTTAGCCATGGTGAGTGGGCCCCAGTGAGTTGGCCACAGCAAATTGTCCCATTCCACCAAGTCTGGGCCTGAGGTAGAGGACTCAACGTCAGCCCTAGTGCCACTATGAATCCTGGGGAACGATGCAGTTGTCCCCGTGGCTCAGCACCCCCAGGATCTGCGGTTCGTGCTCACTTTCATGCACTGTTCTGCTTGTGTTGACAGGCTTCTGCAGGAGGCTGCTCTGGCTTGCAGGAAACCTTTATTCATTCTGTCCTAATCTTAATTTTTTTAAAAACAAACTATCCTTCGCCCAGCTGTTCTGATCAGACACAACTGTTTTCACTGTGTTGTGTGTTATCGGTTTATTACTGTGAGCTCGATGCCGTTTCTGTGCAACTAATTTTAAATAGAAGTCTGTAGAGATTCTCAGTCATCCAGGTTATGGTTTTGCCAAACGGTGCTATTCTACCGGTTCTGCCAAGCCGGTAGTGCCGATGAGCAGCAGAGACCGAACCAGTTCTCTCCAATGCTCTGCTGTTGGGCCCACCTGCCCTCCTTGTTATGATATGTACAGAATAACCCTTGAGTAACAAGGATATGCACACGGAAACATTTATGAGAGTAGTTATGAATAATTATCCAGCCACACACTAAATTGAGTTAAAGTTTACTTTAAGAAATGGAACAGTCCAATAAACGGTCCAGGTCATATACGTTTAACAGTCCAAAGAATATCCAATTACAAAGTCTTCTTACCGGTTGCCTTTGTCATTTACAGTAAACAAAGATGTCAAAGTATAAGCACAGCATAAATACAACAGAGAACCTTAGATAGCAACAGAATGTCAGAGAGACGGAATGTCAGAGAGAGCAAGCTATGATCTCTAGCTCCCTCTTATGGTAACTTGCAATATAATCAATCAGAATATAGTATAAATCAATACGGTGATTTTGTCTTAAAGCTACAAACACACATTGTTGGTTTATATATTGCCAACCCAACTAATTGGTGGACAGATTCCTTACATTCCTGGGATCCTATACTAACCTTTATGTCCTGCTTTTGAAGCGCAGCTGCTTTGGGCGGCACAGCAGTGCCACGCGGCAGCTACTGAAGTGACTGGGAGATTGCAGGAGGTGAGTTGGAAAGCCTCTGCACCTGCACAAAGTGCATGTTTGGTGCATGCGCAAAGCGCGCCCACCAAACCACGCCCACCGAACCGGTGGTAAACATTTTTGAAATGCACCACTGGTCCCCAAGGTGGTTTTTTCAGGAGGCAACTGGACTTTCTTGCTTTTTCTTTTGAAGATGTTTCGCTTCTCATCCAAGAAGCTTCTTCAGCTCTGACAGGATGGTGGGGAATGGAAGGAATTATATTCCTTGCAGACAGCTGGTAATCTGCATCCTTTTAGGTAATCTGCATTCTGCTTCAATGACCCGCTAAAAGGATGCAGAAGCTCCTTGGATGAGAAGCGAAACGTCTTCAAAAGAAAAAACAAAGTCCAGTTGCCTCCTGAAAAAGCGTATTTGGGATAACTTTAAATAGCTTAAAGAAGTCAGTCAACACAGCCAACAGAATCAGAACATCAAGTTAATAAGATATTTACAATGATAAATGTCATTTATCATTTCTTACACTCAGAAGTTCAATTGTTCCAGTAAGTTATTTCCTTCCTTCAGTTCCCAAGTGGGTGTGTGGGTGTGTGTATTTATATTTATTTAGGCGGGCAGGTAAAAGCTTTCTGAGTCTATGGGGACCTGGAGTTTCTTACCAAACTTGATTGGTAGGGATTCTCAACATAATTCACTTTCCACATTTTGGGGTGGGCTGAAGCTAACTGAGAAAGGCATCAAATAAATCACCTGTTGCTTATAGTCGATTTTAGTCAGTTGCCACTTTAATTTAAATTTGTACCTTCTGTTCTGCTTCTTAAGACTATACTGGCCTTTATCAAGCAATTGAAACATGGGATTTCAAGACAATTGAAAGTTTGGAACCTCACAGGGAACTGTTGAAACGAATTGAGCCCGCTATTCAGGATATTGACGTCATAGATCTTCAGAGGTACATGGGAGGATGCCTCCAATCTCAGGAATGGGAAGAAATTCATCAGGTATTATTTATTTAATTTATTTATTTATTCTCTTATTGTTACTCTGGGAGAGGAGGTTTGAATTTTGCTCCAATCATTGATGTTTTCTTGAATTTAGTTACTTGTATTTTGGGCAGGGGTCGCCAACCTTTTGGACCTCAGGGCCCACCAAACTCATAATTTTAAATCCCGCGGACCAGAGACCCTGGGAAAATCCCTCCAAAAGTCTGCAGGAAAATTCGCCACCCCGTTTTCCTACCGATCGATCATTTTTTATTTGGGAGAGAGAGGGGGGGAGAGGGAGAGAGAGAGAAAGAGAGAGAGAGTTTTGGCTTCATGCAAGGAAAGCAGCAGAAGCAGCAGAAGTCTTTCTTTCTCTCCCCCAAATTCCGCCATAAATGAGTCTTTGTGAAACTTGTCCTTGCGTGCAGCCAAAAGCAGAAGAAGAAAAGAAGTGGAAAGAAGCAGCCCAGTGGCCAGGTGAGGCAAGTGGGGCAAGTTCCCACCCCTCTGCCCTTTCCCCCCTCCCCTCACTACCTTGTGTTGTTCACAATGCAAGCGACGCAAGCTTTGTGTTCCCGTGGGCCATGTGGGTGGTGCAGCCTTGTTTTCCCGCACAGCCTGGATTAATTGCTTTGGTGGGTGCTTTGGGGGTGACATTTATCTGCGGACCACCAAAATTTCTTGCGGACCACCAGTTGTCCCCGGCCCACTGCTTGGTAACCACTGTATTTGGGCATGTATCTTCTGATATTATTTTCATAAAATGTTGAAAGTTTTACAAAGAATATTAGAACTCAAATTAATAGCAGTAGCACTCAGGCTAATTTACCGCTTCAATCATGACTTGGCAAATCCAGCATTTTGAAGTTTTGAAGAAATATTGTACCTGAAAAAAAATGCAATTATTTCGGTTCTGAATATTGTAAACGTTATGGCAATAGCACTTAGATTTATATACCACTTCACAGTGCTTTACAGCCCTCTCCAAGCCGTTTACAGAGTCAGCATATTGCCCCCAACAATCTGGGTCCTCATTTTACTGACTTTGGAAGGATGAAATGCTGAGTCAACCTCAAGCCGGTCAAGATTGAACTGCTGGCAGTTGGCAGAGTCAGCCTACAATACTGCATTCTAACCACAGCTCCACCAAGGCTGTAATAAAGAGTGAACGCAAGGAAGAAGAAAATGAAAAACACAAAGGTGCAGAAAGAAAGGATAAAAAGAAATAAAAACCTTCTCGTTTCCTTTGCAACAAATATAAGTACACTTACAAAATTATCTCCTACCCTATAATTACAAAAGAAAACTTTCTTTTCTATTCAGTTTTTCCCTTAATCTTCAAAAACACAAATTATAGCCACACATTCTTCATTTTTTCTGTTTTATGGAAAAAGTCCATAAAGAGTGGAAGTGAATATTTTGAGTTTTGAAATACAATAAATAAGTACTCCCCTCTACCTCCTGTTTTTGATTTGCAGATTAGTCACAATAAAGGGAGAAGAGCAAGTGCGAGCAAACTGCTGGAATGCCTGTGTAGATCAGACAAAGAACATTGGCCTAAAATGTTCCAACACGCACTGTATGAGGCTGGATACGACAATCATGGCAAGCTGTGGGATTTGAAAGGAGGTATTGTTATACCTTTGTTTGCCTCTCCATTCAGTTTCTTTCTTTCTCTCGGAAGACTTCCAGAATAGAGGAAGTTGCGAGAGGCAGAACCACCATTCGGGATGTCAATGGGGTGTGTCTGTAGTAATGGTCATAATCAGGGGATCGAAACCCCTCAGTTTTAACTTGTTATGTGCCTTAAAATTGGAAAGGCGTGCATTGTCATGCTGTTACAGGTAGTCCTCACTTAAAAAGTCTAACCGGGACCTGCAATTCTGCCACTAAGTGGAACAGTCACTGAGTGGGAAATCACATTACTGCAACTGGCTAGAAATAGACAATAGATTCAGTTTCACATCTTTGGCTTTATTTGCTTCCTGACTATTCCCCTGTGCTTTGGGGTGCTCAGAGTACTTGTTTACTGCCTTATATACATAGAAAGCAATGCATTCGTGCTGGAAGACACAGGTGCATTACACAAATAGCTTCCAGTACTCTCTTGAAATCCCTTCCTCTCCGATATCTTCACTATATAAGTGGGGAGGCAGATTGGGGGGGGGAGGGGCTGGAAAAAAAAGCAAGCAATTTCTGTAAGCAATCACTTCCTTACCTGCCCTTTTCCCATTACTTGTACAATCACATTGCTTTTGATGTCTAGAAAAGAAAGCAGCTTACTCTTGAAATCCCCTCCTCTCCAATCTCTCAACTAGTATCACTTAGTGAAATGGGTGGGGTAGAAATACACTGAATATATAAACAAATGAAGTATGTAGAAATTTTGTCACTTGAGCAAGATTATTCAAATAGGTCTTTCCACAGTGTTTAAGATTGGCAACTTGCAGTGCTTCTGCATTCATTAGAACATATTTACATTTTGTTCCCAACAACATGCAGAATATGAATATGACTGTATTATTATACAGTCATTGATGTTCAATATACCCCAGTACAACAATATATTCTTTCCTATTCATATTGTCCTTCATTTATATCTGCGGAGTGCTTTTACAATAGATGTGCCAAGCCAAATAGTAATGAAAATGCAAACATTGAACGGACTTCTCTGTGTCACATTCAGATTATAATACAGACGTTGAAATGGAAAATGATGAAAGCAGCGGTGTTTTTCAAATACAGATTTCTGAAGAAGCAGAATCTGATAATCTTTGTGGGAGTTCATGTTCAGCTTCAGGTAAGACAGTGGAAAGCTGCCTTGGGTTCAATTCTCTGCATTCTTCTAGGAAATGTTTAGTAGCTTCTCAAGAAAAGGATCTGTTCTACCAAAAGTTCTCTGTCACTTTCTTATTTAGGGCAAAGGAGTATGACCAGGTGCCCACGGTGATGCCTGCGGTACTTACATTTTTTGAAATATTTCAATGTTGTCCCTACAGCCCAAGGGTCTTCAAACTTGGCAAGTTTAAGACTTGTGGACTTCAACTCCCAGAATTCCTGAGCTAACATGACTGGAGGAGGAATTCTGGGAGTTGAAGTCCACAAGCTTTAAAGTTGAAGACTCCTGCTATAGCCCCTAGTGGATTAATATTGTGGCATTTTGTGATGTGATTAAACATAGAAATGGTTCAATACCAAAAGAATACTCATTTATTTTTAAAAGAATTACATTTACCTTTAACATAGTCTGAAATACCAGCCACAGGCCAGTGAAGGCTTTTGTTCTGAAATAGCTTGAACACAAATATGGTTGATGAACCAAGAGACTAGTGTACCTAGCACAGATTCTATGTATTTTCACCTCAGCATTTTCTCTGGGAGGTGTCTGTCACAGGACTATATTAGAAAGCTTGCAGGGTATTTTCTTGTTTTGAAAAATGTTACTTTTTGACAGCTGAACATGGGGCATAAGTGCAATTTCCGCCCCTTGAATCAGACAAAAAGGACTTCATACTTTTATTTCAGGATCTAGCCACCATGTTTAAACCAACTCACCCAGCCTATAAGCATTTTCACACATCACTGTACATAATGACACAAGCATGCAAAAGTTTTCAACTTTATAGCTATGGTTATTTGCTTTTAATCAGTTTTGTGCCAGTCTAAAATTGACAAAAAAGAACAAAACATACAGAGGGTAAAGAAAACCAAGATAGATTTGGACACTTACCCGTAATAGTTACCTTTTATAGGGAATTTGAGTAAAGATAAAAGATACCCTATTATACACATCTTAACTGCAGCAAGAATCACTTTAGCACAAAATTGGAAGAGTGATAAAATACCACCAGATGAAGTTCTGATTCAAAAAATAATGGACTGTGCTGAACTAAATAAAATCTCTATGGAACTGAAAGGCAAAGATGATCGAAAATACTATGCGATATGGGAGAGGTGGTACGAATGGGTGAAGAATAAAGATAAAAATAATGTATAGTCACAAAACAAGAAACATTTATATACAATGACACAATAACTGTTAATGGAAATGAGATTTTTGTATTTTTTGTTTTTTAAAGAATAAAAAATTATTTTAAAAAATAGTTACCTTTTATAATGGTAAGCTATGATGGAAGAAGGTTCTTCAGAAATTACCAGCTGACACCATCTCTGCAAAGAGCAAGTGATCTTATGGTTCTTCCTCACAGGAAAATTACTTCCAGTGGCCTTGATAAGGTGACAAATTTTGCCCACTGACTTTGCTAGTCAGAAGGTTGCAAAAGGTGATCCCACCCTGCAACCGTCATAAATATGAACCAATTGCCACCTGTCCAAATTTTGATCATGTTCCCATGGGGATGCTGCAATCATCCAAAGTGTGAAAAATGGTCATAAGTCACTTTTTTTCAGTGCTGTTGTAACTTCCAACTATAAACTGCTTAGAGAAGGCTGTAAAGCACTACGAAGCAGTATGTAAGTCTAAGTGCTATTGCTATAGTAGATACTCTATTTTTCATACATATGTTGTATTTTATATATGTTACATTTTTTTTTCAATGTGCTTTTGTTCACTTATTCTTCTAGATACCTTCCAGCAGACCAGATATGTGCCGAGGAAGGCAAGGAGCTATCAGATAGAACTTGCTGAGCCTGCTCTTAATGGAAAACACACCATGATTTGTGCCCCTACTGGTAAGATCATATTTCTCGGAACTACAGTTACACCTAGAAGAAAGCTTCTTGCTGATTTGAATGGAAAGTTATTTTAAACTTTTTTAAAGAAAGGCCAAAAGAAAAATGTATAAGAAAATAAGAAGAAAACGTTTACAATTTCCTTTTTTCTCTCCTCCTGCTATGATGGAGATCTGAATGGTTTGCTAGTGCCATCATCAAATCTTGATTATCCCTTTATAGGAATACTAGACAACCCTGTGATACATTGAGTCATCCTTTAAGAAGAAGATAATGCGGTCTTACGTGAAAGAAATTAGCATTAAATTTTGGGGTCACCATATATTTTTTTATCCCAGTGCTGGACAGTCCTGTGATCATCTAACAAGAGTATATATTATAATAGGAAAAATAATTGTAGTGGCAAAGAAATTTAAATAATAAGTCAATATTTGCTTACCTAAATAGATAAACATGATGACTGGCAGACCAAAAATGATTGGGGGAGCGAGTAACTTCTGACTTCCTGCTGGCTTCTCCTTTGGCTTTTCTTGTGGGAAGCTGTCAGGAAGCATCTACCAACTTCTATCCTTTATGTAAGAAAGAAGAAATTTGTATCATATTTAATTAAGGCATGTATGTACACTGTATGTGTGTGTATGGGTACAGGTGTGTGTAAATAGGAGGAGCACCATTTATTTGCTTATTTTATTTCAATTTTGTGACTGGGCAATGTAGAATGTGGAATAAAAATGAAAGTTGTGAAGAATAGTGTAATAATCAATTAAAACAAACAATAACAATATCTGGAGAAACCATAGGCATCAGTCAGTGTAGTCAAAAGTTTATTGGAATAACCTTCATGAATAAGAGGAAAAGGTATCTTCTTATTCCTTCAGAGATGACATATTCCATAATATGGGGTCATCTTGTCCAATTCCCACAAGGGTCTTTCAGTAGGCCTTCCCCAAAATGTCTGAACCAGACAGATGACATCCATGGTATGGTCTTTGATATATCACTCCCAGATCAACTGCAGTCCTCAGCTCAGAAAAGGGTGTATGTCCCCCTTTCATTTAGAATAATTTAGAAGAAAGTATTGGGACAATAATAAATCAGGGAATCTCTGCTTATTTCTGGCTTGACCTGATCAGTCACTCAGATCAAATGCCATGGGCAAGGGAGGTCAGTGGGTTCATATTATATAAGAAAACTTCATATACTTGCTGTCTCTTTTTTGTACTGCACTATTTACAGTATCAAAGTTTCATAAAATAATGGACTTGACAGTGAAGGAAAATTATTTAAATTCTGTTGTAAAATATGCGTCTATTTTATCTACATTTCTTGAAACCCATTTTTGTCACCTAAAATTGTTGCTCCCGTCTCCCATATTTTTTAAAGCATGTATTTCCATATATGTCCCTTTTGCTACTCATTCAGATAGAATAGTGTTTTTCAATCTTAGCAACTTTAATATGCATGGACTTCAACTCCCAGAATTCCCAGTTAGCATTCTAAAAATCCATATATCTTAGAATTGCTGAGTTTGAGAAACACTGGGTCAATGACAGATGGCTCATTTTTTGTTGCCAAGCTGAAAGGGATTCCAAGTTTCACTCTTCCATACCATCTGGGCTTGAACATCCCTTTTTATGCTGAATAATGTGTGTTGTATTAGAGAGCCGAACATGGTTTTAGTGAAAATGTCTTTGAAAATATGCACAAAAGATTCCTATACACAATAATACTAAACAGTAAATAATACTTAAATGGTGCTTCACAAACATCATCTTGGCACAACCTTTAAAGATGGCATTATATTACAGCTGAGGGAACAGGTTAGAAAGGAATGTTAATATTGCCATGTAACTTAATGACTAGGGAGTATGGGTAGCCCTTACTTACCATCTGCCTTGTTTAGCAAATATTGGAAGATAAAATGGCATTAAAAATTTTTTTTGTGACTATTTATAACTGTCACAGTATCCCACAGACACTAATTGTGTGATTTTCAACTGGCTTGCAATAAAGAAATAAAATCATCACATCATCGTGATACGATGTTTTGCTTAACACCTGTAATGATTCAGTAACTGTAAGGAAAATAAACCTGTTACGGTAAGAGATTTTCCGTGTCGGAGTTTCCAGTCCCAGTTGTGATCTCCTATGTGAGAGGACCATCTGTTATGGACTTGCCAGCTTGTCATTCAGATTTTTAGCCCATGGCTTCCAAATGCGTCCAACCAGCCTTTTATTCCTTTTTACAGGATCTGGGAAGACTTTTGTGTCTATTATGATATGTGAGCATCATCTCTGCAACAGACCTGCTGGGCAGACAGGAAAAGTAGTCTTCCTCGCTACAAAAGTTCCAGTTTATGAACAACAGAAGAAAGTCTTCCAGGAACACTTCAAAACTGAGTATGATCTTAAGTCTGTCCTAGGCAGATTTCCTGTTGCTTCCTAGTTCTAAAATAATAGCAATGTGTCATTTTTTAGCCATTGATTTGGACTGTTGCTCTACAGCAGAGTTCCCCAATCTTTTCGGCTTTGTAGGCCGGTGCAGGAGTGGAAGTGGGGGAAGCGCATGAAGCAGGCAAGCATGCCTGTGTGCACAGCTCCATTTGCACAAGGGGCAGGGACACACGCGGTCGCCTCTCACTTCCCTGTCCTGGTTCAGAAAGGTTCAAGGCCTGGTCGTGGGCTGGGGGTTGGGGACCTCTGCTCTATAGAAAGATGGTCTGCCATATCTCAAGAATGAAATTTAGTACCCTTGCTTACTTTGAAATCAGTGTCTGGAACAGCAGTTTGCTTCGTAATGTGTACAATGTGATAAGCACCTATGTGTATGTTGCAATTAAAAAAAGAGCTCTCGGATACGACCAATTTATGAGTATTTGTGTGTATTTGTCTATGTGAGTGTATAGGAAATTGGATGACCCCTCTTTGTTTTTTTCTAATTTTGTAGTTTTAGATCGAAGGCTTAAACAGGGTTGATGGTGCTCTGAGAAGTATCTATCTCTTTTCTTGCAGCTACAAAATTGACGGCATCTGTGGAGAAAATGCTTCCTCGACTTCTGCAGACATAGTTATTCAGCAGAATGATATTATTGTCATGACGCCCCAGACTCTTTTGAACTCTCTGAATAATAAGGGGACAAATATTTCTCTTTCAACATTCACATTGATGATATTCGATGAGTGCCACAACACTACAGGGAATAACCCATATAATATGCTAATGTTCAAGTATTTGGACCTTAAACTGAAGCAAGGAGCACACTCGTTACCTCAGGTAAGATAATACTGGGAGCTTTCTCTTGTTGGTAAAAGAAATATGTCATTATTAGTAAGTTGTGTATCCTCTTCTAATACATGAAGACAGTACAGTTTAGTTTAGTTTATTGTCATTGCACCTCATACAATGAAATCAAACAGCATCTTCAGTGCACATCATGACCATGACCATGAAAATAAACACATCCTTCACCCTCCACACATTGAACCAAACCCCCCCCACACCGCACCAATACTGCACTATACAGTAGAATTCAAAAGAGCTACTGCCCTGGGATAGAAGCTGTTTTTCAGCCTAGTTGTCCTTGTTTTTATTATTCTGTATTGTCTGCCAGATGGTAATTGTTCAAAAAAAAAAAAAAGGGTTCCCAGGATAAGACAGATCTTTGAGAATGTTTTGAGCTTTCTTAAGGCAGCGGGAGTTATAAAGCTCTTCCAAAGAGGGGAGAGGGCAACCAATGATCTTCTGGGCAATGACATTAACCCTCTGGAGTGCTTTCCTATCTGCCACTGTGCAATTGGCAAACCATACACAGGTGCAGTAAGTTAAAATGCTCTCTATGGTGCAGTGGTAGAAGGTCACCAGCAGTTTTTCATTCAGTTGTTTTCTGAGAAGTCTCAGGTAATATAATCTCTGCTGGGCCCTTTTGACCAGGGCTGCAATGTGAGCACCCCAGGTCAGGTCCTCTTTTAGGGTAACACCCAGAAACTTAAAACTGGCCACTCGGTCTCCATTGATAAGCAAGGGCTGGAGGTCTGATCTGTTCCTTTTATAGTCCATTATAAGCTCCTTGGTCTTATTGGTGTTGAGGACCAAGTTATTGTCTCCACACCACGAAAGCAACCAGTCCACCTCATTTCAGTAGGCAGACTCATCCCTCCGGAGAGGGAGTCCCATCATAGAAAATGTTGAACCTCTCAAGAAGATAGCATGCACACCTCTAGGAGTCATTTAGTCTGACAATATTGTGGTAGAGATCCACTTTGTCTCCCACTCTTTTCTTAAATAATGATCACTTGAGCTTCACTTTGGGGGAAAAATTGGACTTTGGTGAATTTTAATCCATGAACAAAAAGAATGCAGTTAGTGTTCAATAAGTAATGCACATTGTGGTGCCAAGCACATAGAAAGACATGTACTTGCTTAGTTATTTTAGATGGGACTTTTAGGAAAAATACCCCACCACAGCAGTGTTATTCCAGTATCATAAACACAGTCAATAAACACAAAGCCAAACTTGGCATTCAAAAGGTGTCCTCAATTATTGATCTGTTCATCATTCTGCTTCCAACACTTGAGCATGCTTAGGCCTTATTTTCTGAAATATATTATTGCAGATATACTTGTTTTAACAAGAAATAGCAACAAATATTAAGCAAATGATAAGCCATAAGCAAGGCTGAGCAAAATATTGCTCCAAAAATATTCCTGAACTTTAATTCCATAAGTTAATGATCAAAGGCACTGGAACTTGTAATTAGGCAACATCTGGAGGACTAATTGTCTACCCCTTGAATACATATTCAAGAAATATTGTTATAAATTCTTTCTAACAATTAGAAATATTGTTGTTTTGTTTTTTTAATAATTTTTTTATTAGTTTTCAATAAACATACACAAACAAAACACAAAACATGAAAACAAAACTTCTTTTTGGAAAGCGGCTTAGTCCAGGGTTACATCTTTTTGTACAGACATAAATCGAATTCATGTTCACTTTATATACCATTTCATATCTTATTTACCATTCTACATTTTCTATATAGCTTCTCCCCTCTTTTCACTCTCTTAATTCTGTTTTATTTATTTCATCTCAATTTAAATCATTATGCTTACATCTTTTGTCTGTTCTATTTCAATTATCTATTATCTTTTCTCATTAACACAAAATTTCTCCTGTAATCACTGATTGAAGTATGACACCTTTATAACTTTCCCCTAAATTTAACACTTAAAATAATATATAATTTTCATTCTGATTCTGCTTAGTACATTCTAAAGCTATGTACTATATTTTAAAATAAGAAAGAATAATAAGTTTATAATATAATTAAAACAATAATCCATAGCAAATTAAACTCTATCGTTAAATCTTAAGCATTTTACATATGCCTTTTAATATTTTATCCCATTTTATAATCATATAATGTTTCAGTTTTCTTAACATTATTTCAAATACAAATACAACAATACAATCTTATGTACTTTTGCAGAATCTCTTTTTTAATTATATTTTTACCCATTATCTCTGAATAAATCCTGTTTCTTTACATCTTGTTTCAAACCTTTGTAACTTCTCTTCCCTTTTTCTCTTACTTTCTTCTCCAATCTAGCCTTTTTACCCCCTTGTCTCTTGACCTCCACCCTCTTAATCTCCACCCTCTTCTGTATTCCTCTTTTCTGTTGCTTTCTGACATTGTATCGATTTTTCACCTTATTTTTCCCTTTTTTGGTTGTTCTTTTAAGTCTTAAATTCTCCATTCTCTTTCCCCTCTTTCCCTTTTCTTCCCCAGCTAGAGTTGCTTGTTCATTAAAGATGGCTTCTTCTTCATCCCAATCTTCTTGTTCTAGTAGTTTCTGATAGGTAGAAATCGCCATTTCTAAGAAATGAAAAACAGATCCAGAAGAGCCCTTCCCTTCTTGTTCCTCTTCTTTAAGCTTTTTAAATTCCATTTTCAATTCATCAACAAGTAATGCCATTGTGAAAAAATTTTAAACAACCCAAATGTTTTTAGTCTTTCAAATAATAATTTCCAAAGGTCCCAAAGTCACCAAGCAATCCAAATCCACACAGACTGTTTCATTTAGGACTTTCTTCTTTTTATACTTTCTCCTCCTGGGGTTATAATTCAGTTGCAAAGTTCCAAAATATATCTTTTAGAAGTCTTGTTACAATTTAACTCTAGTCTTATAAATTCCAAGCAGCCTCCTCCAGCAAAATCTTAATATTAATTCTTTTCCTCTCCCTTCCCACTTATAGCAAAAAAAAGTTTTTTTTCCCAGTGTTTAGAAAACTTTAATGTCCCCTTGGCTTTAATTTTCCAATTTAATTACCTGCTGATGCCAAAACGGGTTTTTCCAATTTCCATCTGCTATCACCATAAGGAAGGAGAGTGAGAAAAAACAAAGTTTCCCTTTCTACTTTCATTCGCCGCTTTTTCCGAATCTTCTTTGGGAACGATGTATCTTTAATGAAGTTTAAATTCCAGGGTATTTAAATGCTACTTGTTGTCCCGGTCAGCCCAAAAACTCACTTTTCAGCTTCCTCCTGCGCATTCTTATCCGGATGAAAGCTTCTTTGTGGCGGCCATTGCTGACTGCCGCTCCACCGCTTTCAAAAAAGGGAATTAAGCCAGCTGGGGAGGGGGGTTGCGATTCCCCCGGACCCCTGCCGGATCTCCCCTGTCTTCAGTTACCTCTACGGGGTAACTAATAACCCCCAAATCCGGCTGGATCGGGGGCACTCCAGCGGCGAGCGCAGCAGAAACCGCGCACGATCGCGGATTCCTGCCCCTGCCGAAGCCTTGCAAACCGCAAGTCCAACAATTAGAAATATTGTTGTTACACACCTTTGAATTGTACCTGACTCCGGATGGCTATAAGGATAAAAGTCTAATAATTTCTGGGATTAGAAACTGATGATCTGATCCAGCAACTAGCAGTGTTTTGTGATTTATCCTAGAAATGTATTGCCCTTTTAAATAAGTGAAAATAAATGCGATGGTATATGCTGTAGATTGGATGCTGGGAATGGCAAGGGGAGGAAGAGTTTCAAAAAAGAATATTCCTGGGAAAGAAGAAGGTGTGAAAGTGAAGGAAGCTCAAAACAATCCACCTTGATTTTTAGAGAAAGTCTGGCAGGCTTTTAAGATTCTGTTAAAATACCTCAACAATAATAAAGAGCATTCTAGAAATTCCAACTATTCCTCTTTATTGACCTGGCCTATTTCAAATGACTTGACAGTAAGATTTATAACATAGAATAATAGAGTTGCAAGGGATCTCAGAGGGCTTCTAGTCTAACCCCCCCCCCCCCCTGCTTAAGCATGAGACTCTACACCAGGGGTGTCCAACCTTGGCAACTTTAAGACTTGTGGACTTCAACTCCCAGAATTCCTCAGCCAGC